AAATGTACCTTACCTTCCTGCACTGAAAGCTCCCAATTCAGGGTACAACTTTTCCAGTGCTCTTACCCATCTTTGCATGAGAAAAAATGAAATTCTGGCCTTCCAAAACAATGCTCAACATTGCTTCTAGACTTTTGAGGTTAGCTTTTCCATTAGAATTACTGTATAATTAGATGTAATAAGAAGGGAGAGCATGAAAATATAGGACTGAGTTGTGCTTTTGGATGCAAATGATATTACAGTTGTAGGTGCTGTGGAATTCCTATCTTGAAGTCTTTTTGTACTGCACTTCTTAAATTAAATTCTTAATTCATTGCAAAGAAACCAAATAAATTTTCATTCTCTTTATTGCTACAACTAACACCTTTCTTAATAGCAAAGGAAAGAGAATGCTTTCCTCCTAGCTGGTTTGAGGGGGACACCTCTTTTTTTAACATGCTTCTTACCTGTTGTTATTTCTAACCTTTTGATGTTAGTTTGGCCATTTTTTCACTTTGCTCAAAGTTTTAAATTTAAACCTGAAAAAAAAATCTTAAAGACCAAGAGTGTTTGTTGTTTTTTCCTGGAAACCAAAGCAGTTTTTAATTCATAGAGAAACTCTAGAATTATAGGGTGGTGGTTTGTTTGTGGGTTTGGGGGATTTTTTGGTGGGGAGTGTTGTGTTGTTTTTTTGCTTTTTTTGCACATTTTTGTTTAACTCAGGTTTGATATCCAGGATTTATTTTCTTTATTTCTTCCTTTTCTAGGCCTGTGAAAAGGTTGGAATTCAGATACCTCGTTTTTGTTATCATGATCGGCTGTCTATTGCTGGAAACTGCAGGATGTGCCTTGTGGAAATAGAGAAAGCCCCCAAGGTATTTATTTTTTGTGTTACTGAAATTATTTTTGTAAGTGTGCAGGACTCTACAGTGGGGGAACTAATCACAGATTAATTTCCACATAAATTGTTATTAGAATGTGACTGCTGCAAACAGACTTTTGTGTCTGTGTATATCTTCACCCCAAAATGTCATGATTATAGTACATACATGCATGTCTGACAGGATCTACAGTAAATTACAGTTCTTTTCAAAAGATTAAAAGTAGGAACGTGGAAACTGGTAGTGTAGCTGGGCATCTGGTACTCAAACTGACTCAAACTGGTACTCTTCTGAGGAAGAGATTTCATGGATGTAGCTATATAATTGGGGCTTGACAGATTTTACCTCTATGGTACTGCATCATAAGTCCACTTAAGTCTTTTCTGAAACTGACTGCCGTGGCGGAGGCCTGAGCTCCGTGTTGGCACCAGAACATTTCTTAGATGCATACTTTCATTTTTGTGCAGTACACCATTTTTATTGACAGTGATAAAGATAATGGCTAAAGTTAACCACTTGCATCAAAGATGGTATTTCATACACTTGATTCTTGAAGATTTTTTTTTTTCTCTCATGGCTATATTTGGGTAGTTTATGTATTGAAGCAAATATTTTTATCCTGCATTTGCCAGAAAAGGTTAGACTAACCACCATGCATGTAAATTATCAGTACTTGCCTTTCTTTCTAAGTGGAAATGTGCTGATGCATGTTTTTATGATGATTGCAGCCAGTTGCTGCTTGTGCTATGCCGGTAATGAAGGGTTGGAATATACTGACAAATTCCGAGAGGTCCAGGAAAGCAAGGTATCTTCCTTAAGTACATGTTTATCTTTTTTGCTGGGTAAACATGTGCAAATGTGACACTAATTACTGACTTCAACAGAGAGGGTGTAATGGAGTTCCTGCTGGCAAATCACCCATTGGATTGTCCAATCTGTGATCAAGGAGGAGAATGCGATCTACAGGTACAAAGTCTTGTTCAGTTATTTTAGACTTATTCGTTAAGTTAATATTTTGAATTGTGTGTCTAGTGAAACAACACTTGGCAGCAACATGAGTTCATTTATTTCCTCTTGTGTATTCTAGGACCAATCAATGATGTTTGGCAGTGACAGGAGCCGATTTATGGAAGGGAAGCGTGCTGTTGAGGACAAGAACATTGGCCCACTAGTCAAAACAATCATGACTCGATGTATACAGTGCACTCGGTGTATCAGGTAATGTCCTTTTGTTTGACATTCTGTCCAGTGCAAACAAAAAGGAAGATTTTTTTTTTTCAAATACTGTTTGTTTTTTCTCTTTTTTCCTCCCCACTATTTTCTCATGTTAAATGTGACCCCAGGAGTGGTCAGTCCTTAGTCTCACTTCTATGATTGCCATAATGGTGCTAATTCTGAGGAAGATCAACAATTACTTTCACACAAACCACCCAGCTACTGTTAGATAGTAACAACTGGAGATGAGCAAACAAGAAAATAAGTTGGATTGATCCAGATCAAATCATCTAATTCTGGTTCCAGAACAGATTCCCAAACATCAAGTGGCCTTTAGGGTCTGGTTGGGATGAGACTGAAGTCACATTAAAAATAGTAACCTTGGGGGAATATCCTTAAAGATAACACAACCTTGGGACTAAAATGTAGCTTTTGAGGTCGCTGCACCATTCTCCTTGAGCCTGCACATTATCTAAATAGGCTGTTCTAATCCATATCATTATGAGAATTTATGGTTATTGTTGACTTTGGGACAAGCTTGAACAGCTAATCAAACTCCATATTCATTCAGCAGTCCCATATTTTTCACTTTCTCCTCCCCCCAGTGTAACGAAATTCAGTAAGTTAGTGCTTCTACACATACGTTATTGCTAAATGCATGCACACATGCATGCATGTTAATACAGATATAGTATAATTGGTTTTTACGATTTCTAACAACTATAGAATTAACCTATTTAAATAGGTCAGAAGCTGCTTGTGTAATTAGGTGACTGTCCACCTTTTCTATAGGTATATCAGAATATTAATCTCTGAGAGATGAAAATTTAAGATGCATCCTACTGATCTGTTTGTGTCAAGTTTTTATATTTCATTTGTATCCATTAGGTTTGCTAATGAGATTGCAGGTGTAGATGATTTGGGAACGACAGGAAGAGGAAATGACATGCAAGTTGGCACTTACATTGAGAAAATGTTCATGTCAGAACTATCAGGAAATGTCATTGACATCTGTCCAGTAGGAGCACTTACCTCCAAGCCGTATGCCTTCACTGCCCGTCCATGGGAGACAAGGTATGCATCTTACACAGAAATTCAGTTGCTCTTTTAACACATTTTTTCTTTTACATGTGTTGTGGTGGTTGGAGTTTTTTGAATATTCGCCTCCAAAAAGGTACATTGTTTTGTAAGGAAAAAAGGATTCTTATTGCACTTTCTGGTCTGTGTGGGTTTTTCTGTAGACTCTATATCTCTCTAAAATGTTACTAAATTGAGTCCATTACAATTCCAACATCTGTAGAATTAATACATTTCTCAAATTTAGATTTATATGTATATTTATAGTTTTGAATTTAGGGAGTGGGGAAGCTGGGGCAGAGGATCAAAGTAACCCAAACATATTAGTTTTCCTAAGTTGTGCTAACGACTGTCTAAACCAGAGGTTTTCAACTTGTGGTCTGTAGACCCCTTGGGGTCCTCAGACTGTCTGAGGGGTCTGTGAAAGATGACTCTGATCAATCAAAAGTATGTGAATACTCACATTTACTGTTCAAAGGGGTCCACACCTCCATTTGAACATTTTAAGGGCTCTGCAAGTGAAAAAACGGTTGAAAACCACTGGTCTAAACAATAGAACTAAAATGTTGACAGCCAGTGAATTGAAGTATGACTTATAATGTCATGTGAAATACTTTTAGCATTAAATATACCTAATGTTAAAACACGGAATGTTTTCAGGGCTTTAAAATCTAGCCGCTTGCTTAGGGAAAAAATCATAATTTGTATGTCTTTGTGGTCTGTTTTCTATGCAGAAAGATTGAGTCCATTGATGTTCTTGATGCAGTTGGAAGTAATATTGTAGTGAGCACAAGGACTGGAGAAGTAATGAGAATTTTGCCAAGGTTGCATGAAGACATAAATGAGGAATGGATCTCAGACAAAACAAGGTACTGTTAGGATGTATAAGGAGTTTCACAGAATGCTAAGAATTGCACTGACAGAATACTACATTTAATGTTTTAAGGTCATTGTTGAGCTGTTTAACAAACTGAATGTTCTGCTGTAAGTATTAACAAATGCTCCAACCGGAACTGTGTGTTTTTGGGTTTTTTTTTGTTTTGTTTTTTACAGTGATCCTTTGACTGCAGTGATCCTGTCTGATCTGTGTAACAGGACTCACTGCCAAAAGCAGGTGTGCTGCCTCCTGGTGGCCACTATACTACCACCTCTTCTCTCTGGTTAACCAGGGTACTTTCCTGCCATGCCTTGCACGTTATTTTAAATTCAGTAGGCTGCCCCAGTCCACTAGATTGATTGATTCCTTTGCCCCTCAGCTCAGTCTCTCTGAGCTCTCAGCTACTTTGGCTCAGTTCAGTTCACTGGACCCTCAGCCCCTTGAAGAGTGCCTTAGTCTCTAACAGCCTTTGTTGATTCCAGCACCTCAGATTTCAGGCATTCTCTGGCACCCTCAGCCTCCTTTTACCCCTTCAGCCGCTCCAAGCCTCATCATCAGCATAAATCCAATCCAAAACGCGATGAATTGGGGCTGGGGTCCGTTTCTGTAGGCCTTGCCCCCAGCTTGTTCTTTGTCATGCTGGCTTCTCCTAGCTCTGGCCTTTCTAGTCTTACTTGCAGTTTCCTGAGTCTCCAATGTGACTTCTTCACTCAGTGCAGGGAGTTAGTTTCATGAACGTAACTTGGGCCAGTCTGCAGTTCCCAGTGCTTCTTCCCTCAACTCCCAGCAGGGAGCTCCTGCCTCTAGCCCTCCCCAGGTCACACTGCCCCTTTACTTTTTTGTGCAGGGTCTATGTAGCCCCTGGCTGCTCCTGCTTCTGAACTGAGGACTCCTCAGCAGGCCATTGCCTAAATAAGCTGCCAGCTGCTTATTATCTGGGCTCTGCAGCTTTCTAACTCACTCTACTGCCTATCCCTGCACTCAGTAACAGGACTTGCCCTGTTGCATATGTTGTTGGTTTGTGGGGTTGTTTTTGTTTTTTCCTTTATGGAAGGAAAAAGATTCACTTGCTAATGAAAACCAGGGTTTCAGTTCTTATTATTTATTTTAACCCAAACTATTTGTATTTAAATAAAAGTCTGTACTGTTGCTGCATTTCTTTCGCCATGTAAAGTTTATTTTGTAGCACAGCAATTAATACTGGTGTTAAGGCACATCTGAGTGACACTTCTTTCACTTATCCAGGTTTGCTTATGATGGTTTGAAACGCCAGAGGCTTTGTCAGCCAATGGTCAAGAATGAAGAAGGGCTGTTAGTATATTCCTCATGGGAAGATGCGCTGACTTGTGTTGCTGGAGTGGTAAGAATTACTTACAACTTTTGCTTTTGGTGGCACTTAAATGTTGTTAGGCAAGTAGGCAAAATCAGTAATACTTCAGTTGAAGATTGGAGACAACCATTTACTATTAATGTTTAATTTATTGAGAATAATTTTGGGGAGTTTAATTTATTTCTAACTTGGTAGAGTTCTGTATTTAAAAATCAATAGGTAAGTGTAACTCTGAGTTTCTTTGTTCTTGAAGTGTAAGTGTCTAGAGTATGTGTCCTGCACTCTTGAAAGTTTTGGTAGTTCCTTTGGTAGTTTAGCTACTGTTTATGAAAAATCTAGAAGTTTTTAAAGGAGATGCTAAGAAAAATCATTTGTTAAACTTCATTTTGAACTTTTTTGGGGGAGGAGAAGGAAGAAGGACCCTAAGCTTAATTTTAAACTTCATACCATTTTGATAGGAAGATACTACTTCATCTCTTCAAATTCTTTTTGCTTGATAACTTGTGGGCAGGTGAATGCAAGCTTGTATCCATCTGTTACCTCATCCAACCCTAACATTGCCTCTTTCCAGCTGCAAAGTTTCCAAGGTAAGGATGTTGCTGCAGTTGCAGGAGGACTGGTGGATGCAGAAGCATTGGTAGCTCTAAAAGATTTGATGAACAGAGTAAATTCTGACACACTGTGTACTGAAGAGGTCTTCCCTACTGCTGGAGCCGGGTGAGAACAGAGACACAGATCTTATGCACGTTTTAGAGTTTTAGCAAACTCTTAAACCTCTTGCAAAACAAACTTTTTGTTTTTTTCATGGTCCAGAGCAATGTGATTGTGTGAACTGCCTCATAAGATTCTGAAATATTCAGGATTGGAGATTTTGAATAAGTTTTATAGACATATGGAATATTATAATTTCAAGTTAAAATCTCCATGCTAGAGTTGGATGCTCTAAAGAAGTATAGTCTCGTACTGTAGCAAAGATTGCAAAGCTGCTATGATAATTCAGTACAAAAACAGCTCTTTAACACTTAGTAGGCCTTGTGGCTATAAATGGATTTATTTAGGTAACTGTAGCACATCAGGTATTGTTACAACTATCTCTAGGGCAAGTATAATTTTACTTCGGTAAAGGCTGAGAATACTATATAGGCGGAGGAACATGTCTGCATCATAGCTCCCTTTAGAACTTTGATAGTGCTAGTAACCTTATAAAGTGGGAGGCTTTTGTTTATACTAGCATTAGCATTGAGATTTTTCTTTCTTTTAGCTTCCCATCTGAAAATAGTTTACACCTAGTAAGTTAACCCTGCAGTCTTTGCTGCTCTGATTTGTTGCCTTTGCCTCCTCTTTTTGACGAAGTTACTTTGTGTGTGGCTTTTTGTTACAGCACAGACCTACGTTCTAACTACTTGCTTAATAACAAGATTGTGGGAGTGGAGGAGGCAGATATCCTGCTTCTGATTGGCACCAATCCACGCTTCGAAGCACCACTGTTTAATGCCAGAATTCGAAAGAGGTTTGTACTTTTATGGATTAGTCGTTCATTTTTGCTAGCTAGAGGCTAGATCATGCATATTGATCTGGTACAGCAGTAGGACTCCATGTAGATTTTTAGGCATTCATCCAGGCAGATCAATTTTACAGCATCTCCCCCCACCCCTCTGATCCCCTTCTTTTTGTAATGGAATGGGGTTGTGTCTGATACGGGAGTCTCTCTCCTCTATGCCCCTCACCCCCCACCTTTTTCCCTTTAATTTCAGCATATCCCTTAGTCCATTAACTTGTGTAAAGTAGTCTTTCCTTTGTCACAAAACATAGCTCCAAAGATTTAATTTTTATACAGGGTTTTTAAACAAGTTCTTTGCAATGTTAATGCTGAGCAGTGTCTTTAATAGAGAATTGTTGCTGTAATAAACTGGATATGAAATGATGTAGGTTGTGTATACTCAGATCTGGCCTGCAGTCATGTAATCTGTCCTGTAGGTCTCCCCACGGGTCTAAAAAATTCTGGTGGTGGGGGAGTGGTGCAATTGACACTACTACTGCTCCCCCACTGGTAAATTTCCAAGTCCTGTGCATCTGAGACAATTCTACACATGCTGGATTGGGCCCGTGGACTAGATCTGGCTCACAGATGGAGCTGGCAGTGCTCATCCCGCCATGGCCCAAAGGTTGGGCACCGCTGATATAGCAGACAGACCTGGCACTGGTCATCCAGCCCATGGGTCAAAAAGGTTGGGTGCCATTGACTGTAGGCAATTTTTCCTTGCTTGTGTAATACACTGATCATTTATCTTATTTCTGTTTTTTGAAGTAGTTCTTTGTTTTAATCATGGTATCATCCTGTCACTTGCCACTAAAATCCTAATGTTACTAGCTTTGGCTGACCAGCATTATAAATTTCTGTGGCTTACCTATATTTTATTTCTACTATTTTTAGCTGGCTTCACAATGACCTGAAAGTGGCGGTTGTGGGAAGTGCAGTGGACCTAACCTACACATATGATCACCTGGGAGATTCTCCACAGATACTTCAGGATATTGCTTCAGGAAAACATGAATTTGCCAAGGTACACACTGCATGAATAAAATGGTGCAGATACTTTAAAAAAAGTTATTCTAAATGTATGACAAGTGTTAGAAGTTGTTTTTGGTGAAAGTTTTCCCCTCCTTACCCCTCATGGGGATTTTGCAGCAGGTAATATTTTTACCATGTAAAGAATCTGTAAGTTTTATATTCAGTGTGTTCACACTAACGGTTGAGGTTAAAAGTTCCTTCCAGTAAAGTATGTGAAACACTGAAATGTCCCATGATCATGTGTGTGATAAAACATTTGAATATGCCCTCTTCTAGGTAGTGCAACCACTTTCAGGCACTACTGAAATAATTATAGGTGGCTACAGTGAGTGCAACATTGACTATTTAGTTTTTTAAAACATTGTTATGGTGCAGGATAATGCAGTAAATTACCACAACATGAACTCATGGGACCTAATTAGACAATTAAATAACCTATTTTCCTTATTTTAGAGTTGCAGCTTTGCTTGGAAGACTTGTTGCAAACATTTTGATTTGATTTGTTACCTTTCATGTTTGTATACTGCATTAACACCACTTAACAATCGTTCTTTGCAAATATCCTGATCTGAACTCATGTTGAATTACTTTAACCTTGGAGTGATTTTTTTTTTTTTTTCCCCCCCTCCCCCTCCTCCTATCAAACAGGTCCTTAACCAGGCCAAAAAACCAATGGTGGTCGTTGGCAGTGCAGCTCTTCAGCGCAGTGATGGAGCAGCTATCCATGCTGTAGTTTCTACCATTGCACATAATGCCAGGACAAAAAGTAGAGTTGGTACTGACTGGAAAGTAATGAACATCCTTCATAGGTTTGCTTCAGATTTTTTCTACAGGTCTTTTGATCCACCTAGACTTGGCATAAATGGCATATATAAATAGAGGCCTACCAAACTCAAGGAGGCGGATGGCTGACTTTTGTGAGCAGCTTGTGGGGCTGGCCACCATATTCATCGGCTGAGTGCAGGTGGAGGGCCCCCCCTGCCTCTGGCTGAGGGGCCCTCGCAGTCTCACCCCTCCTCACAGATTGCCATGTGGCCCAAAACTGCAGCTTAATTACCCTGCTTAAGCCCAGGGAAGCCATTAATCCACACCGTGTTAAGTGTGGATTAATTGCTTCCCCAGGCTTAGTTAGGGTAACTAAGCTGTGGTTTTGGGCCACCTTGGGGCTTGCTGCAAAGAAAACTTACCAGCAAGGAGAAAAGCATGCAGGAAGTCCTGCAGTCTTAAGACGACTGGGGGGGGGGAACCCCCCTGCCCTTTTCTGTCCCCCGCCTCCATTCCATTGTCATTTTGCATAACCCCACCTCCCTTCCATAGCCCTGATCCTTCACTTGCATAAGGCTGCTTCCAGTCCCACCCTCCTACTCCTTTTCCCCACCTCTCATTGTGTCACTTACATAATCCCACCCCCTGTGGAGATGGCTCTGCCCCCTCCCCTGCCTCCGTCTTCCCCTCCCATGCTCCAAGACTACAGGACTTCCTGTGTGCTTTTCTTGCCAGTACACTTACTTTTATTTTGCATGGATCCTGTGCTTTTTTGTGGCACCTGCCTGAAATTGCAGTTTCTGTGAAAATTACACAATCATGATTTCAGTATGTCCTTATATATAAGTGTGAAGATTTCTTAGTACAAACACACAGGTTTCAATCTGCCATGGGTTTTATGCTTTCAAAGAAGCATAAAAATGTAATAGGAGCAATGCAAAATAGAAAGTGTTTCATAAGCTCTATTTAATGTTTTAGCAAGCATTTTGCATGCCTCACGGGGGCTGTTAAGGGAGAAATTTTGGATTTAGGCTATAAGAACCTAACAATGTCATGCACCATTGTGCCTAACAGGATATATGGACCAGCAATGCCTAATAAAGGCAAAATGCCAGTAGTGCTTAAATATAAATTCTTACCATGCATTTATACTTCTCTTGCATTGTGCATTTTTTTAAGCAAAGATATTTGACTTTCTGTTTAAAAGTGGTATCCAGAAATTTAATGATGATTACTACTAACCAGCTGCTGTGATTTAACTTGTATTTCAGAAAAAAGAAATCCTAGTATCTTCCCAAAGGCTTTGCTCATGAAAACCATGTTTCTTTCTTAACTTTTTTACCTAGTAATACAGTAACACTTAGGATTACTGTAAGTGTTAAGATTAATCAACCTGATGCATTTGATAACACTATATAGTCAATATTCGTTTCTTTAACAGAGTTACTTTTTCCTTCTTTGGGTTTTCCCTGCTATTTTGAACAGAGTTATCCACAGAAGAGGAATGTGTATATGAAATGTAAAATAAAAAAAACCATATATTGACAGGGGATTGTGGGACTTGAGGAGAGAACCTATTTCTAACTCAGGCTGGTGAGGAAAACAAAAGAATGTTCTCTCATTGTCAATGACAGGGTCAGTTTTTTCTTTTATCCCACTTTTATTGGGATGAAATGAGCTTTTGAAATGTTTTTTGCAAAGACCAACAGTGGGCAAGAGACCTCTACTTCAGAATACCTGTTTTGCTCTGTCACTTAAAATTTTAAAGGAAACTGGGTTGGAAAGGAAACATTACAGACTGTAATTTTAAGTAACAAGTCAGTCTTTGTCTCTGTGTAGGGTTGCAAGCCAAGTAGCAGCTTTGGATTTGGGTTTCAAACCAGGAGTAGATGCAATTCGGAAGAATCCTCCCAAAGCATTATATCTCCTGGGGGCAGATGAAGGTTGCATAACACGTCAAGATCTGCCAAAGGATTGTTTCATCATTTATCAGGGTAATCAACACAATTAATGAATGAAACACTGCCTAGAACTTGAACACTAACAAGCAGCACATATGAATAGACTATCTTTTTACAAATGGTAGCCTTTAAAGCTTGCCATGAGAGAAACAGTATAAACTGAACTGTGGAAAATGTATTAATAAACTGCTGAAATTTTATTAATACACAACTTAAATATGCAAGAATGTTTGTTTTCATATTACATAGCTCTGGTGACGGGTAAAGAATTATAAAGCTGCTTTACTCCCTAGGTCACGGTTTCTTGATCACTGGATTTGAAGTGGTTACTAGCAGAAAACTGCAGTGGCTCTAAATGGCACGTCAAAGTCATTGCCAATAAGCTTCGGTACCCTTGTAACCTCATCTCAGTTTCAGCAGAGCCTGGAAATTGAGTGGATGTGGAGACAGAACTATCATTTTGGTAGTGGTTTTGGACAAGTAGTTTGCAGTATAGACAAATAAGACTGCAATGTCCAGGGCTGCTGTTCTGGTTTACATTTTATGAATGCCAAGTTAATTCAAGTAAATTTCAAAAGAAAAGAGGAGTACAGTAGCTGTAACATTAATATAGCATTCCTCTTGAATGATGCACTGCAGTTTCTTCGTGAAAATTGACTGTTTTTTCTTTGCTTCCTTTTTGTTTGTTAGGACATCATGGTGATATCGGTGCTCCCATGGCTGATGTTATTCTACCAGGTGCAGCTTACACAGAGAAGTATGCAACATATGTGAATACTGAGGGCCGAGCCCAGCAGACAAAAGTAGCAGTAACCCCCCCTGGCATAGCCAGAGAGGACTGGAGAATTATTAGAGCAGTCTCTGAGGTACTGTAACTATTAGAAATTGATGCTTCCTAATTGGAATCCAAATGGAGCTTGGAAATTGCCTATAATACATAATGGTTCAGTAATGTGGATATAATCTCCTGAGAAAGTGGATAAGACTAAATTGATAGGAAGCAACACTTCTCGTTTTTCTGTAGGGTAAATACTGTGCTCCTCATTTTTCTGAGGTTTTGACATACAATGTTGTAGTTGCTAGATATCCTGCTAAACATGCTGTGAGAACATACAGTGGGTGGTACCTTGCCCAGCTCTTGGGAATATGTGGATGTAGATAGGTACATTTAATAGCAGTATCTATGCTAACCTGAACACAATGGAGAGTTCTGGCCATACCATCTGTATGGGAGAAGAGAAGCTTCCTTTGCTGCCCAATCCCCCTTCCTTGTCCAGAAAACATTCTAACTCCTTAATATCTAGAAGTCAACCTAGTGTACTGCAATTCTAAAGACAAGAAATGCTCTGCTCAGCTACATCCCTCCTTACCTATTTTTTGTAGATAGCTTTTGGATTTAATGTTTTTAAATATTGAAAAAGAACTTCTACATATGCAATTAATGTGCCTGAATAAACTCTGGTGCAGCTCGTATTGGAGTTTTGCTGTGCTCAGGAGCAATATTTATACGTGTGCCTGGGACCACAGCACATTGAGCCAGGGCAGCATAGCCCTAGCTGGCAGAGGTGGGGGTGGGGGGGGGGGGTGTTCAGCCTGCCAACCTGGAGTTGCTCCGCCCAGCTCAACATGCTGCAGAGGGGCTTGCTGGGACATGAGGGTGCTACAGTACAGGG